ATCGACACTCTTTCGCGAACTGACGAGACTTCTGGGAGTGAAACATATCTCCACAACAGCCTATCATCCGGCAGCGAATGGTCTAGTGGAAAGATTCCACAGACAACTGAAAAGCTCCCTGATGGCGCAGAATGATACATCTAAGTGGAGTGAATACTTACCTTTGATTTTACTTGGTATCCGTTCTACTATCAAAGAAGATTTAGGATGTACACCGGCTCAACTTGTCTATGGCACCAACCTAACCTTGCCTGGACAGCTAGTCCCCTCAGCCGATTCCACAGACGTGAACATTGCCGACTTCACTAACCGATTAACTAGACAAATGCTTCAACTTCAACCAACAGCACCTCGACAATCTCCCCGACGAGATCAGATCAACAAACATCTACAAACTTGCAAATTCGTCTTCATTCGAGTCGACGCCATCAGAAAAGGATTGCAACCTCCATACGAAGGACCCTTTCAAGTTATTAAACGTTCAGACAAACACTTTACAGTGAACAAGAATGGAAGACGAGAGACTGTTTCAATTGATCGAATCAAACCCGCATACACCGACAACGACTTCGAATCTACATCGGCAGCTGCGCAATCAAATAATCAAACATCCGATTCCCCTCCACCGGCACCAAGTCTTATCCTCCCTCCATATCACACACGTAGTGGTCGGCAAATCAGTAAACCGGCTCGCTACGTTCATTTTGAGGACTAACAAAAGAAAAATAATTAAAAATTATTATTATCTTTTTCGTTTAGACATTATCATCATGACCGTTAGTATTTCGTCGTAAACTTTGATGTTACTATCACTATTATTTATTTATATGTACCTCACCTAAAAAACAGGTATTGTCCTTTCCAAAAACTATTGATCTTTAATCCATATTTTTTTTAATGTTTCTTTCCCCTCCTTAATTACTGTGTATTTACATATTTTTCTTTATACATTAAAAATCTATGTTCATGGTTAGTGCAAATTTAAGTGACATGACTTTCTATTTCAATTTTTATTGCTGAACTCATTGTATATGCTTTCAGACTTTACATGATTCACATACCTTCTCGCGTTTATGCATGTTGTAATATATCCCTATTTTTATCCAAAAGTTGCTATTACTATTATTATTTACTTCATAGTTTTACTTATCATTTTCCGGTTGTCTCTCCGGACCTCTAGGGGGGAGCCGTGTGGAGTACGTAACAATGTGATTGTACACTTTTTGGTTACTTGTATAAATTCGAGATATTGTACATAATTTTTGTTTAAAACGCTTCTTGTTGAAATATACATAACTTCCGTGTACAATTGAAAAATACACTCTGCTGTTGGAGACTTCGTCTTCTCCCTGGTCACTTCTGCTTACTTGCTCCACTCACACCGTGTTGTATACTTCGGATTTATTGTAGGAGCCTACTACTCTCAACCGAAGACATTTCTACAACCGGAACACAGCAGCTACAGCAGACGCAGTCCAAACAATTAACGTGCCCGTGGATTATATAATTAATTTGTAGCCGAGGACTTAGACTTTATATCCAAGTAATCCTTTTTGTTGCTATAACTCGTCACTGTATTTTTGGTAATATATTGTGATTTAACACTCCACTGACTTGGATTATTACTTTTATATTTGGAATGTTAGTGAACTCTAATATTAGTCCCCTACAGGTTCAAATTTAGGGAGTTTGATGTTCCTATTATCCCTGAACGGCGAAACAGTAACATCAACCATGTCATGTTGAACATCACACACATCGTTACAAGTAACAGACAAGTCACCATGACTTACTTTCCTGTTTGCATCCAAGACACTCTGTCCCTTCTTTGACCCAGGCATTGTTGAACTTGACCCAATTCCAAGAAAGTTCCGGATATTGCTTGTTCAAAGAGGACTTGACCGGCACCAGGAAAGATGAACGGTGACTATCCAAAGTCGTACAGTCAGAAACTGTCAGCCACGTCTCGTAAACCGTCAATGCCCAGCTCTTGCTACGCTGGGACTCACGCTGTTTCTTGAAGTTTCTCAGAAACGCTTAGTAATAGCGAACGCAAAACCAAAACACCGATTGGCCACTCGAGGATTCTTTATTGTAACACCAACATATAACCAACTTTAAAATTAAGCTTTAAACTAAGATTCACAACTAAGGTCTATGAACAAATATTACAATAATAAATCACAATATTACTTCTGACGGTTTTTTCCTGACTTCTTTCTGAACAGCGACCAGTGAGACGATGACTGTCTGATTGATGCCTCCGCGAAAATTGGGGAAGTTGGTTTTGAGCAAACAACCATGAATTGATCGTTCAATCTTCAACTACATTGACAAACATACTCACACAACTTGTGTATCTTGATATGATTATGGGCAATAAATTATGCTCGAAGCGCGTTCATCAGTAAATATTACTTTATAGCACTGTGTGAATTTTTCAAAATAAAAATTTTATCCATAATTATATATCACGATAGGTCTAAAGGTTTCTCATGCACAAAATATGCACTGAGAATCGACAAGAATATTCCTAGCAGGGTGGGATAAAAACTCTGTCTGCAAGGATCAAATAGAACAAACCACGTGTCGAATGTCTAGATCAGATCGATTCCTGAAACTAGAGGTGATTCCAGAAGATTGATCAGCTCCACAGAACACTATGCGCAGTGATCTACGTGGCAAAATCAGAAAACGGATCGACAATACGAAAATGATTTTTTTTTCCACCAATGGTGAACTAGAACAACATATTTACAGAGCTCAAAGTCTGTGAATAAGGTTAGTTTCTAAACATCCTCTCGAACGAAAATTGTAATATTAAATTAAAAACCGATTATCAGCAGTCTACTGTTGTAACGACAGAAGACAAGGGCCGAGTAACAAATGGCTTATTGAGAAAATCAAAAAAATATTTATACATTTTTATCTACATTGTTGTCAGCGGAGAAGCAACGTCTTCTGATTGGTTGTTTTCTTGCTGAAGGTTATTCTGTACTGCTTGTGACCGTTTCTCAGAAAGTTAAGCCATATATCTGCGAATCGCATTTGCACACGTTAAGTCTTCTGTGACTAGTTGGTGGGCTTCTCAGGGCCAAGCCTTATTGTTGTATTTCTCATGACCCTTATTTGGGACGTAACACTGACGTAAATTGCTGTCTAAAATTTTGGCTCGCAGCCAGCTCACACCACACTATCACACGTTAGCAGAGTAAGAATGTGAACCATCCAAAAACAGATAATAAGGATTGAGGCGGAAAAAGACCTTTTGTGTACCGCTTATGGCAGCAGATGGTTTCCTTAGGCGAATACAAAAAGCGCCTATGAATTCTTCATGAGTTCCACCGGATAAGCTGACTTATTCAGCAGAGTGACATAGCAAATCATGGGAACATCCTATTGAAGGCTAATCACTGTAGCCGTCCATGGATCTCTATGAACAATGCTTTTGAAAAATATCAGTCTTTATTTAATATGAGTATATGTCATAGTGGTTCTGTGGATTGTTCGTCCCAAAAGGTGTTCCAGGTGACACTATCGAGCATTTTCTGAACCCATTTGACTGGTCCTTAATCCGTATATTTTGTCTAAGTTAGAACTGTTTCGATTATATGCCGGACAAGTAGTGAGGCCTAGACGATTATAGAACCATTGGTCTATGTATACAAGACAGTTTTCCGCTGCTATGGCTGTCGTCATTAGCTGCTGAACTCAGTCATATACAGTAATTAAGAAGCATATACCAGGTAGTTTTGACCTGTGGAAAAGTTTACTCAGATAATAAACAAAATATTTGATAAACGTCCTCGAACAAGCATCTTTGTGAAAGACATGTAAGGTAATGATAGCGTTGTTAATAAGCCCTTACGAAATACACTTTACTTAGCTACCCAGTTGGTCAATAATCTACCTATCCTGTAGTTATTGAAGACAAAACTCAAAATAACAAGGCTTAGTTAATTGGAAATGTGCTCTGGTAAGTAGTATATTTGAGTAAAGTAAAAGTCAAGATCGTTCAGGGAAAAAGATTTAAAACTTATGTAATGAATATGTTTGTATTACAAACTCAAAGAATGTGCATGTTAACAGCACAACGGGAAAGCGCAAAATGACATTGGAGCCAGTCCGTATGGGTACATATTAAAACAAAATCTTAAAACATTGGAATTTACACCAGAGACAGTACACTTATACGTATATCGATCATTTGCTTCTATGTGTTCACAATTTGTTTTATTATTACCAAAAATACACTGAATTGCCCACTGAGTTAATATTTTATCAACATCAAGTAGATAAACGACACCTTGATAAAATTGCAGGCACTATTTATGGATGATACTCATGGCCAATAATGTCTTTAGTCTAAATGACATTCTGTGTACCAGCTCACCAAAGTCGCTTGACGGATTATTTATTACCCATAGCCTTCATTTTTACGTTCTTATATATATCTGGATAACTTAGAAGAATGTCAAACACCATCGGTCTACAAGCCCCTGTTTGAATTTCAATTTTCTTCCAGTTTTGCTCTTACAAAGTGGGTCTCAAACCGTGAATAGAATATAAAGAAATACAAAGTCCTTCCAGGTTAGAAGATAGAATATATATTTTCCCTGATGTATGTAATTAATATAACGAATAACATTTACAGAAAATTTTAAGAAAACGTAAAACTAATGCCAAAACGGAATTCATGTAAATTATCAGTTAGATTATAAACAGATGTTCTCCAACCCTTATAGGTTCTAAGTTCATCTCCTCACGCAACCTCGCTTCACATCCAAAAGAGACATAAATTCATCTTCGGATGTATATGCATGCTAAACAGAAGTAGTAGCATAGTGTGTACATCTAGAAAGAGAGAAAGCGTCTCATTTGTGATATAGTTTTGTTTTAATCTGATAGTAAAATTCATCTACTAATTTCATTGTAATGTGTAGTAAGACTGTTTTTGGTTCTGTTTTTTTTTTGTCTTTTATTATTCAACTGTCAAAAGTTTATGTTTGTTTTAAATGTGTTGCTGTTCTTTTGGCTTGTAAACGTTGCGAGGAAGCAATAACATGTTGGTCAGTTTTCGTAAGATTTTCTCCAGTCAAATCAACAGTTTGACCACAGAATTTTTGTTCAAATGCTTCGGTTAACCGACCAAATACAATACCAGTCATTGCCAAACCAATAACTATGTATACAATTGAGAAAATTGCTAGAAATACATCTGTTTCTGGGACTAAATCGCCAAAACCAACAGTCGTTATTGATATAAATGCAAAGTATACTAAATCTAAAGCAGTCCATTCTAACTCTTTTTGTCCAGCAATATAAGCATAAATTCCTGCTCCAATAGACAAGTAGACAATAAATGCCAAAATGGATGGAAGCACCTGAAATAGACAAGAAAATAAGCAATAATGTATAATATTAAAACCATTAGTACAAAAATACTACACTAAAGTCTGAAATAACACATACAGAACTTGAATGACTACTCTTTTTTTCCTTTGAAGCTGTCTTTCCACAATAAAAGACCATCGAATGCACTAACTTTTCAGTCTTATGACCACGAAGCCTTGAGATTGTCACTGTTTAACACTGCTTCATAATCAACAGTTCCCTATCTTTGTTAATTTATAGTTGTATTTTAATTATGAAAAACCAGTGAACAGTTTACCGCTATCAGTTTCTATTTGTGCTACTAGCCTCAATCACCTAAGCTCCAATTTATAGGCTCATTACTTACTTATATGCATCAGAACTTCATAATCTAAGATATTAGAAATTATCAACATTTTATTCATTTACTTTGATATCTGTGCACTCAATTATTTCAAGTTTGATGATGAGATGACATCAGTCGGAGAACCATTGGAAAATCAGACAGTACTGTACAGATGTCTCGTATTAGTTCGAAACTACTCACCAGCACGCATCCAGCAGCGTTCGAATCCAGGACCTTATGGTTACAAGTCAAGCTCGTAGACCACTTAGCTACTGGTGTGGTGACAGCTAACTGCAAGCCAAAACTGTAGACCACAATTTGCGTCAATATTCACGTCCCGAATCAGGGACATGAAAAAAACAATGACAAAGTTTGACCTTGAGAAAATCACCAGCCAATCACAGCAGAGTTAACCTGTGGAAATGTGATTCGCAGATGTATGGCTTAACTTTCTAAGAAACGGCCACAAAGCAATAACAGAATAACCTTCAGCAAACAAACAACCAATCAGAAGGCGTTGATTCTCAGCTAACAATAATGTCGACAAAAATCTATAAATACCTCTTGATTTTCCCAAAAAAAGATCTGTTGCTTGACCTTTGTATTCTGTCGTTACACTGGGACCCAATTCAGTAGTCCATGAATTCCAATTTCTACCAATTGGTGATTTTAGCGCGACCAGTTATATCGAAATTTCTTCATTATAACATACAATTATTGCCACTATTATTTGTTAACTTGAAGACTTAAATGGTATAACTTTCAATTAGTAAAGTTTACTTATGAAGATAGTATGATATCAATCAACTTGACTGCATCCCATTATCTTCCAGATAACTGATTGCCACTGTTACTTGAAACTGGCTTTTCATGTATTAGGGTGGCGATGCTGTATATATGTGTTGAGAGCTAGGTACTAGCCGAAATTGGTAGACCGTATTGTACGTCAATGTTTATGTCCCCAATATTGATCGTGAGAAAATATGAACCAAGACTTTGAGTAGGCGGATACAGTTAGCATATAGATGATCTGACACTTGCAGTGAGAAACAACCAATCAGAAGACTCTGTTTTTCTGTTAACCATTATCTATAGTAATGTGCATGAAAATATGTGTCGATTTCCTTAATAAACGTTCTGTTTCCTGGCCCTTGTCTTCTGTTATATATATATATATATATATATATATATATATATATATATATATATATAATGCGGGCTGCAACATAAGATGTGCTCAATATCATAAATGGATATCAAGAAAGCTAACGTAAATATATGATAGCATATATTACTGATTGATTGATATGAATAGTAGGACGCCCCTCACATCAACCAGTAGTGCTTCTAAGCTAGATTGAAGGGATCTAAACAATGGACAGAACTCAGGTAGCTTGAACTAATCTCACTCTCTGGAATGAGTCAAACATGGTACAACAATGGTGAACTTGCCCTAAAACGAGCGAAACAACCACCCGGTATTTAGGAGTTTTCGATCTGACTAAGGATCACCACTGTGAAGGGTTATCCAGCTACTCTTATCAGTCAGTAGTCTGGTTGAATTTTGACAGTAAAATTAGGATAAAGTATTCAGATTCCTTTTTTCTTAACACTAGCTTTATAGTAGTATTTGTGAAAATTGTCATTAGTTAGAGAACCACAGATGTCTAATCCTATTTAAACATTTTTTCCGCAAGACTCATCCACGATTCCATGTCGAAGACCTCCTGGACTCATGTTGGCTTTTTTATTTTGCTTGAATCAGTCAGTATTCCTTCCAATTCACGAAGAATTCCCGTCCAGACATTAATAAAAACAAAACACGTAGTTCAGCAAACAGGCTTTTCCCTGCTAATTAATCTCCCTTAGTTGTACAATCCCATTTGTATACAATTGTATATGCTTATATCGGTTCACCTGTTGCGGTGAAGCCAGATAAATTGGTCGTTTAAAGTGTATTCTGTCTAAAAGGGTTTAAGAACACTATCCCACATTGTTGCAGAATAGTAGTAGTGGCTCCATGAGGAATGCGATAAACAGACACCTTGTCAACACTCCATCTCAGCAAACGCCTCCTTCAAAGTAACCTACAAAGTAAAAAGCAGCTGGCTAAAAACAATATGCTTTCGTATCCTTTGTATTGCTGAAGCTTTAGTCATCCAGTCAGAGAAACCGGAGCTTTCTATATCACTTCAACTAACGTTGGCAACAACCTCACCGATTCCTGCTGGCTTGATTATTGTTCGCATGTTTTTCTAACTTCAAATAACTAATGTATTTCCTTAGGAATCTTACGTAATTCTATATTTTCCTTCGTTTCTATATACATTCTGATTATAACTCAATAAATTATTCATCTTATTACTTAACTCCAATACACTTGTGGTGAGAGCTATCTACTAGCCAAAATTGGTAAACAGCAATTTACGTCAACGTTTACGTCCCATATCTTAGTCATGGGAAAAAACAAGAACAAAGACTAGCGCAACAGACAATCACAGCAGACTTTGCGTCGGCGGATGCGATTCGTAGATATATGGCCTGACCTTCAAAGAAACGGCAGCAAGGAGGTGACAGATTAACTTTCAGAGAGAAAATGACCAATCAGAAGACGCTGTTTCTCTGCTGATAATAACGAGTTATAATGTACATAAAAATTTAGAAATATCACTTGATTTCCTCAATAAACGATCTGTTTCCAGACCCTTGTCTTCTGTCGTTACACACTTATTCAACTTGTATGAACTGAATGATATTAACAGTTATGTTTATGAGAACTCATCACTTTTGTTGCTATCATCTTCCGTGAAAAAAAATTCATATAAATATGACCGTACAGCTAAAGAAAATGAATTCGTCGAAAAGGGCCCCCTCACTGAACTACATGTTTTCTTTTCAGTAATTGTTCACACATGCAATATAGTTCCATACATCGGTCAAAGCTCTTGATTTTTAATGTTCCCATAGCTGATGTTAAATTTGTGAAAATCATTCAGACCCTAACAAAGTCTTCAAAGGAACACTGACCTTATTCATGAATTCAATGTAAAAAAAAACAAATGAACAGTGGTGATAAATTCTCCCTGTCAAAAAGAAAATCATTTTATTTTATTCTTTTTTTCGTATCACTTACTCGAAAATCGAAAGTTGCATCAATACGATGATAAGTTTCCCTTAAACCAACTGGTACTCCAGAAGGATCCAGTGTCATATAATAAATTGCTTTTGTCAGTCGAATAATCACGTTTGATATTCTACCGATAAGAAGACTACATAATGGTATAGCAATTATACCATATAAAATAGTTAACAGTTTACCACCGACAGTAGAAGGAAACACATTACCATAACCTATAAGATAAAATGATAAATAAAAATGTGATAAGTGATGAATGATATATAATTATTTTTATTGCAAACGTAACAAATACTGAGTGCTTCTATAAGATTCAGAGGTTTGGTGCGCGCATCACTGAAAGCATTTCCAATTGACTGTAAACTTTCGTCAAGAGATACCTTTAGTCGATACTGAAGGTCAGATGACTGACGAGAAAGGGTAAGCGGTAAGGAACTGTAGCAGGCAGTGAACTAACCAAGAACTTATTGCTAGATAAGTATGCAGAAAGAAATGGAGATTGGTTGTTAAGAAGATCATTGAGTGGCATCATGCGCGACGCCCTCTCCTGAGTGGGACCCGAATGAAAAATAGTTGAGTTAGGCATGGGTGCGAGGATGACACGTAGGAGATGGTATGAAGAGGTAATGAACAATCGTGAACCCAGTTAAAAAATACAGCAGAAAACAGAGTGAAATGATGATGCGCTGATAAAGTCTCATGTTCCTCAAGGAGCCCAATGGAATAATAATAATAACCGACGCTCCCACAGAAACTCTACTTAAATGTAAGGAAGAGAAAGTGGAATACTACAACTGGAGAAACTCTCGAGATGAGTCGTAGGATTAATTATTTGTAAGAAAAGAAAAAGAATGATTTAGGAAAAGCACTGAGAAGTGGAAAAAAATAATGAACGATTACAATTATTGATTTAAACAGAAGAAGAGTTTGGATAACACATAATATTTATAGTTACTCGTTTGTTGACAACTAAGAGAGAAGTCCACAACTCAGGTACCCTTCTACTTAAGAATCACCATTTGGAAGTACATGCATTCCAGTAATTGATGTAGCTTTTTAAATGGGGCTTAATCTCAGCACCCATTACATCCAAATACATACTGTTATCCGACATTCTACTCAGCCGGAACGGTCACCTCCTATACAGTAGGTACAGTGAAATACTGTTCATTTATACCAGTAATTCTCAGTTGGTATTTGCGGAATTAAATGATTAGAATAACTTGGGAATACTACCTCCCATTTGGAGGTTGATCCCTTAATCGCTATTAACTCCTAATTTTCCACTGTCATAGATGTTGGACAACGTTTCAGTCCTGAAATAAAAAAAGAAGATTTACAGTTCAGATGGTTGATTTCGATGTGATTTCATTCTCTGAGCTAGGTGGTTTAACTGCAAAGCTCTCATTGACTTTCTAGACACTGGTTTCAACGCAGACGTATTTTGACCACTTTGGAATCCTGTTATCTGCAAAAATATTAAATTAAACCATTACTCCGATGGCTATGTTATGCGTTTTTCTTCGTATTGAAGTCTAAGCCGAAGATGTTGTCTTAAAAGACAGTAGAAGCTTCTCAATTACACCACCCAGCTCACAGAACACACAATAATTTTGAACTAGTTAGTCTCTGTGCAAAAGCTCTTTAGTAAGACCATTTTTCCGTTTCATTTTTTGCTATGGTTTCATTGTTGGTAACCAATATGATGTTAGAAACAGGTCCTATTGCATAATACAGTAGCCTTTATACATTTTTCATACCTGAGTGAATAAGTAAAAATTTAGGTTCCCTAATGTATTGAAGGTTTTTTATTCATTTAACACCGAAAAGAATCAACTAGAAAACCGCGGAGTATTTCAGTAAATAATGTTAGGAAAACCTTAACTGTTAAATGTACCTTTTCATTTGGTTAATATCTTAGATTATCATAAAATATGTATATATTATCATTTTATAAGAGTTAGGATTAATATAATCTCATGGTTTATTAGTGCATATTATGGGTGAACGACAGAACATATATTCCAATCATATGAAAAAATCGATAAAACACCTTCAGAACAGCCAATTAGGAGTGAGAATATAAGTAATCGGCAAACAAATTTATCACCCTTTCATTTATGCCTTCTTCATAGGTTAGAACAGAGGCGGTCAATTATGATTTCAATTTCTTCAGGTAGTCGGTGTTGTGCACTGTCTTGTGTGATTTTGTAATGTGTGTTTAAAGCAATACTCTAATCTCCTTAAACATTACATTTGGTTATTTCAAAGGTGCTTTATGGATTTTTTTATACAGCTGGAATGTCTATTGTTCCGTTTACCTGTACTACGCGCGAAAACACCTTGAGATTACTTGTATCCTCACCGTGATTAGTGTGAAAATGTCACCTGTCTCTATCTCTCCCTCAAGTCAATAGTGTATTGACTTTATTTATTAAGTGAACTTCGAATCCCTGCACTTTTCTTTAAAGCGATAAGTTTCAAAATCTTAGAGTGATGAATGCAACCATACTGAGTATCTTTAAATATCAAAAGCAAACATAGTACACAGAAGAAAGTATACAAGTACCACGAACAAAGTCATATAAAATATTCAAGTATTAGTTTTGTAAGGATTTTTGTTTAATTGGTTAGAGGATTTCATCATGAGTTGACATCAGTTAGAGAACCATTAGAAAACCTAGGAGTACTAGACAGCTATTTCATTCTAGTTTGGGACTCTTCAGCAGCACTCACCCACCAGGGTTCGAACAAAAATCCCTACGAAATCAATACTTGAAAATTAATCTGATGCTCACTAGCAACTGGTCTGATTCAGGCAGTTAACCTGGGGTTATAGTGGGAAGCCGTCAGCAGTAGGGTACAGCAGGTTGAAGGTGAGGCGGTAATTCATCGAAGAAGACATTGTGAAGTGGCCGTGTTGTGTCATGAATTGGAAAAAGTTAGAATTCATGGACTGGCTATTGGAACTGGTCCCAGTGGCTTAAAGGTCTACGAGCTCACTGGACTTGTAACCATAAATCCCTGGGTTCGAACCCCGTGGAGTGAGTGAATGTTGATGAAGAGTTCTAAACTAGGAAGAAACAGCTGTCAAGTACTCCCTTTTGGCTTTCAAATGGTTCTCTGACTGATGTCAGCTCATAGTGAAATCCTCCAACCAATCATATAAAATAACTTACATTTTCTAAAAATTATCTTGTTGCTTTTTTTATTAGAAAGTAACAAAAAGTAAATTTCTATTTTTGTCGAAATATTTTGCGTAAGATTTTCAGAAAGAATATTTCTGTCCAGATTTCTTCATGAACCGATACCAGTTCAAGAATCTTTGAAGACTCATAGGCAGTTAACAGCTCTTACATCCTAGTTTGGGATTATTGAGTAGTGTGTGCTCATGACCACATTAGAGACAGAACCTAGAGCATTCAGTTTATTATTTATTATTGTTTCCTTTAGTTCCTGGAGGAACATAGGGCTTCAGCCAGACGTCTTCACTGCGTTCGGTTCTCCGCCAGCGTTTTCACCTGGCTCCATGTCTGCCCATATACATTCATCTCCCCATCACATGAACTCCTCCAAGTCATCCTTGGACGACCAACTCGCTGCTTCCCTTTCGGGTTCCACTCTAGTGATAGCCTGGCATGTGATGTCACTTGATGGTTTCCTCAGAATAAAGCCAATCCACCTCCATTTCTTCCTGCTTATCTGTTGCAGAATCGGTTCCTGGTTCGTTCGCTCCCAGAGATCCGTGTTGCTAATCTTTTCTGGCCATCTGATCTTGAGTACTGAGCGAAGACAGCTGTTGATGAAGGTCTGTAGTTTGTTTGAGGTACTCTTCATGACACACCAAGTCTCTGATTCGTATAGCAGCACTGACTTCATATTGGAGTTGAAAATCCGGATCTTATTCTTCATACTGAGGAGTGCTGTTGATCTCTACACAGATTTGGGAGTAACATTCAGTTTATCAACCGAGAACGTCTATCAATCAGTCATTGGGGTGGAAGAAGTTAACAGCTTATAAATCCTAACTCTTGTTAATTCTTTATAGGGTACCACTGCCAAAATGTGCCATCGATTAGCAGACTAGCACAAAACAGCTTTCCAGTGCTCTTGCATTCTACACCCAACCTGTACTTACAGACTAAGGAATCAGTTTTCTTTTTCACTACCTTCCCTCACATTGAGACTGTTAATTTTCATAACTAAGTTACATAACTACTAATGTACTTAATTTTTTTATTCCAATTATTTTAAAGCAAGTTTTCTTCCGGCAATGTAGCATCTAAGAAACAAAGAAAATTATGTTTGGTGTTAAATAGGTAAATATAATGAGAAGATAACTTATTAACTGTTTAAAATATAGTGAAACTTTAGTTTACCATCAACAGCTTTTTAGGAATCTCTTATGTTTAATAAAGTTGACTGTCAGCAATAAATGTTCATCGTAATAAATTTAATCGATTTACATTAGTTGAAGGAAAAGGAAAGAGAAGGAGAAAGAAGAGAAACTCAGTCTAAATGAAACCGACTTCTTAAAGAGTGTCTTATGTACACATTTTAGTCTCTGTTCTTTTGTACTAGTCAACAGTGTTATAATGATTAATATTGTAATGGTAGAAATTAGAGATTTTTGTAAAGGGATGTTTATTTGGGATTTGGTATTTCTATATGGCTAAATTATGCACAGCTTATCTCAAAATCGTAATTCATACGGATCTTCCGTGTTGTGCTACTTCTCGCCTTCCTTCATATCGCGTTTCTTTGTGTTCCTTTCACAACTTCCATTTATCTTCTCAACGCTGTATTATTTGCTTTCTCTGACATCCAATCTATCTCCCATCTGTTCGAAGTTTCTTTGCCGACGAACGTCTCTTCATGTACTACTGATAAATATTATCAGTAATACAAGCCACAGTATATCTGACATCATATTAACTTGTAGTAACCACGAATCGTAGACTTAAGATAGCTTTTTCACTTCGTAAGTTGTCTTATTTTAACTGCTTTGGACCCATATTATCTGTGAAGATATTAACGTAAATTACTACTGCATTGGTAATGTTGTGCATTGTTTCTTTAAATACATGTAGTATACATGCAGCATCTTTTATTACCATAAAATACAGTGTTTTAGTTTATTTTTCTTAATGATAATAAAGTCAGTTAAACGACATCCTAACAAGAGTATTGTTTCATTCAGAAATAAAAAGGATCAGAAATGCATTGACTGATCACTGGGGAGCTATTGATATCATATGTCCAGACCTTAGTAGTGTTAGTGCCGACTAGATTCTATCAGTCAAATTTGTAAAGTGATTAGTTGACTTCCTGGTACACTTTCACTACATGCTAGATAGTTGGAGACAACCGACAGGAAATCCCACTTTATATAATCCACTCAACCAGTGTTAAGCCATTCGTTTATTGAAAAATAATAGAAAGCTATTGGGAATCATTCCACACATCTATTTATCAGCGGTATCACTTATATAAGGTCTACAGGATTAAGCCATCATTCAGTGGGAATTGTAGGTACATCCAGCTGACAAGTCCCCAATAGGACGAAATATGCATCCTGGATTCTACTACTAGTCAATATCCACCAAAAAGCACTACTTGACATAAGACTGAGCCCATATATATTAAACAAACCAGTAGTGATAATTATAAGTAAAGTTAAACTTACCGATAGTTGTAAACAGTGTAAAACAATAATAAATACTTCCCCAAAAATTCCATTTTGTCGGTATATCAATAGTTAATTCATCTGTACCAGATTGCCATACTTCATATAATTTTTCACGATATCTATCAACTTGTGCAACTAATTTTGACCAGTCTGCATTTTCACCTTTTTTAGCTAATTGTTGTGCTAATATAAAAATTTTTTGTCTTGTCTAAAAGTAAAACAAAAACAAGAAATAGATAATAATTATTATACTATTTATAATAATAATAACAACATCAATAATGTGGTTTATTAATAACAGATATTAGATTCGATGTAAGGCGACTGAAAGCAGTTGGGGAGGAAGCCAAGAACATAGATTTTATGCTTATTGCTACTTGTTAGCAAGATGTATCTTCAGCCTTGAAGAAACTGATGTCTACTGTTAGGTGCTGAACCATGTCATCGAGTACCACAGTCAGAAACTTCACCTTTCAATTATTCAGTTGGTTTAACCACTTAACATCAATTCAAAGGCACTGCAGTGGCAAGTCATCTAGGTCGGTGATCATGTCGGAAATTCAAGTGTTAGTCTATGGGGATTGGATTGTTTTCAAGTTACTTCACGAACTGATTTCAGGTAGAGAATCACTGGAAACCTCTGAATAATAGACAATCGTCTCGTCATGGTTTGTAGCTCTTCGAGGGTACGCACTCATGAGCCTTCCGCCGGGAATCTGACACAGGATATTTAGATTATGAGGCCGGTCAACTGACTATTCAGACAGTGGGACAGAATCTAATGGTCCATTAAATCTGGTGTAAGGACAAATACTAACCAATACCATTGTCTGGAGTTATATATCGCGGACCGCAGATGAGTCCCAAACTAGGACGAAATAGCTGTCCAGTACTCTTTGATTTTTAGTGGTTCTGTAACTGACATCAGTCCATGGTCTAACTTGAGAGAATTCCGTTAGCACCAACACTCAGGACCAGATAAATAAGAAGGGTCACTCTCTAATGGTCGGTCAATGTAACTTTTATGTCTATTTGAAAATATTTTTCATTACACATCGGCACCAGTTAGTCGAACTTTCATCTGGATGTATTTTATTGGCCACAATTTGTTTTATACTCCATAACAGACAACATTAACTCTTTGAATAATTCAGTTGTAATAATATAATAAGAGCTGAGTTACTTTATAAATTGATTTAATAAAAAAAGAAGTACTAATTAAAACGGCGTGAGTCGGTGGCATAGCTGTTAGGACGCTCACCAACCATGTATATATATATATATATATATATATATATACCTCATTCATCAGCTGGCTATATGACAATGCCACGTGTCAGTCAGGTGATCCATAACGGAAAACCCACTGAGCGAGGCCTATGTTCAAAGTGCATACAGGAGTAAGATGAAGCTAGCTGGCTGTCTATTATCACAAATCATATTCCTGATTGTGATGGACTGGATTATGCGTCAGACTATGCATGGGAGTGAGAAGACAGGAATGTGTTGCACTGACGGACAAGAAGACTGTAGAAGATCTGGATTTCGCAAGTGAATGATTTATGTTTAATGTCACACGAACTGGAAGACTTGCAGGCGAAAACCAACAAACTGGCTGAAGAGGCTGGCAGGCAGTGAGGGCAGGACTGCAGGTGAACATAGAGAAGATGGAAACAAAGGTGATGAATATGACCAACCAACACTTGCAACAACAACAACCAGCACCAATCACCATCAACGGCAGTGATTTGTCAGAGGTTACTTCCTTCACTTATCTGGCTAAGAGGCACTGTTTTAATCACCAGATTTGGAAAGGCAAGATACACCCACAACAACCTAAATCCAGTGTGAAAATCTCCTGCACTAACTCAGCCAGCATAAACAACAATATTTGGATTTTCAACACAAATATGAAGTCAGTCAGTCAGTGCCTCATTACGTGTCAGAAACTTGTACTGCGCGTGAGTCACGAAAAGGATTTCCAACAGGCTATTGCAGACTTTTACCAACAGATGCCACCTTCACTGGCTGGCTGCATACTCAAGATCAAATGGCCAGCCGACTGGTCAGAAACAATTAGTAACAAGAAATTCTTCAGTGGAACAAACCACCCATGAGTCGATTTCTCAACAAATACGTAGGAGAAAATGAAGACGGATCGATCGGTCATATATTGAGGAGGCCATCGAATGACATCACGCACAAAACAGGCCATTGCTCGATTGGAAGCCGAACTGGAAGTGGCGAGGAGGTCGTTGGTGTGAGGGTGACATGAAGGAGATCATGTAGCGAGGAGTAGATGAGAGACTATGTTCAATCATGGATGCAGTTGAAGAGGACAGCAGAAAATAGGAGAGAGTGGAGATGTGTTGTTGAAGCCCTCTGTTCCACTTAGAACTCGGGGGAATAATAATAAGTCAACTTAGGAAACTTAATACCTACAGTACTTAAAAGTCCGCATTCTGAACATTCTTTCCATTCATTTCATTCCAAATGGAACAAAAGGCTCCAAACTTCAAAGTTACAGTAACGGTGTTGTTGTTTCTACGGGATGTGGCGGCTGGCTTCATGCCCGACCTTCCCTCTTTTCCTGGTTTAATACCGGCTAGGTGAGGTTTAGCAGTGTGCTGGTCGGAAATCGAACCTGAACCTTTTGCGTGACTAACGAGTATTCCACAATTGAACATCCTGAACATAAGGGTTGCGTACTACAACTCTTTTATCCTCTAGACTACTGTGTTTGAATACAAAGTTTTCATTCAGCACAAGAATAATGTTCCAACACAATTTTTGGGCTTTCATAAAGTGGAACATGAATAGAAAGCATTAAGATATTTTTGTGCCAACTAGAATGATTTTGACTGTACTAAATGTAATATATTCACTTCAGAATAACAGATAGTATGAAATAAAAGTAGAGGAATAGAAATCTGTTCAAAAACCTTGAACTCTTCAATGATTGTACTGATTAATAGTATACACCAAGGATTGGAAACAAGGTCTAAAGTGATAAATTGTTTAGTTATAAGCTTTATTATGCAAAAGTAATAGTTATGGTAACATTTCACCAATCAAAGCTTAGTTTTCCGCCAGATGACCTTGTGGTCGGTAGTTGACCAATCAGTAACCTCAAATCAGACCACCACAACATTTGTGTGTTGATGGCCAATAAATAGAGCATTTAGATGAAGATAAAATACAAAAAACCTTTCAATGTGTTGTTTTATCTCCGAATAAGAGAAAGAAAAAATATTTTAGGAAATACGTACTGCTAGTTAACTATCTTATCAACTAAAGAATTTAGGATAGAAGATTCCAAAGGTGAATGGTTTAAAAACGAAACTAAAATCAATGGAAAAGATTAGTACCAAAAGGTTATAATGCCTTATTTTGAAATCACAGGTTTTATCACGAGTTGACATTAGTTAGAGAACCATTGGAAAAAATGGGAGTACTGGACAGATGTTTCGTTCTAGCTTGGGGCTCATCATTAGTACCCATCCACCTCCGGGGTTCGAACCCAGGACCTTCCAGTCACAAGGAGAACTCGTAGACCATTCAGACACTGGGACCCGATCCAGCGAGATCCACCAAGTCAGCTGAGAGATCAGTCATTTGTATAAGACACTGGATATATATATATATATCAATTACACCGGACTTTTTTTTACTTTTGTTTCCTTCACATTCCCCAGTGGAACATAGGGCTTCAAGCTATTGGCTTAAAGTTTCTGCAGCAGTGTTTTATTTTTACAGGTTAGGGTTGCTAGCCCCATGCCCAATCTTTCCTCTTTACCAGCATGATTTCTGGCCTAGCGAGGTAAAGGAGTGCGTCGGCCGGGGATCGAACTCCGGACCATGTGCATGGTCGGCTAGCGTCCTAACCGCTGTGCCACAGAGGCACATTACACCAGACAAAGAAGTATAAATCAAGTCTCCCTAACCATATCGTTTTGCAATATATTTCATGAAATGTGAGTTTAACATCAAGCATATTTTTTAACATCGCGAACTGGCAGAAGTTGGAATTCATTGGCCATTGGATTGGGTCTCTGTGGCTGAATGTACTATGCGCTCACCTTGTAACAGGAGGGTTCTCTGTTGAGTCTCGAAAGAGTCTGTATTGCTGAAGAGTCACGAACTGGGATGAGACAGCTTTCCAGTACTCCATGGTTTTCCAATGGTTCTTCAACTGATGTCAACTCGTGATCAAAACCTGTAACCAATCAAGTCTCTACAAACCAACAGTTATTTCGAAATCATAAGAAAGCTCATTCAACCCTTCATTTTTCTGCAATAAAATCAATAACCAGTAGTGATTTCAAAATCTTAACACTCAAAAAAAGAATATTCTCTTCAATAACTTCTTCATCAGACTCTATAGTTATATATTCATAATAATAAAAGAATAGCTGTTACTGACAACATACAAAACACAAAACCCTTACGTTGAAATTTCAGTTTGCAAAAGTTATTCATTTTCCGCCTCTTTTGTCTTCATTTCATGCCTTCTGATATTATTTTATAAGGATCTACATTTCTTCTTCGTTCAACCTAATCCGTCACCCCACTACTGTAGATTCTTACAGTAGAACGCACACACAGTATACTACTTATTGATTTATATCAATAGCTCACACACCCGTGTAGTTTTTCCTGAATTTTTATGTCATACACACCACTCCATTATCAAAGATTTGAAATTATCTAAATGGCGTTCTCGAAAAAGATAATACGTTGTCACTATTTATTCTGTAAACATAATTGTATGTTCTCAAAGGAACAGAATTCTCCGTTAGTATGGTATCGATTATAATTGAAAGAAGGGATTCATGAACAAAAGCAGTTGAAGTGTCAGTAGATATGAAAATGACTGTTAAAAGATTATCTGTAGAATCTAATCTTTGTAATTATGCTGGTGCTTATCAGTTTGTAGCCCAGGTCTTCAGATTATCATTGGTCATCTATGAATATTCTTCATTACTGTAACGGTTATTCTCTGAACTCATTCTCTAGAAGTGTAATAACTTAACACTATTTTGTCTTGAATGTTCTCTTATTCACCACATTTATTAGCATTCAATTAAAGATTATTTCTTATCGTATTAATCTGAGTAACCAAGCATTTCAAGAATAAATTCATTTGGATAAACTTTCATCAATGGACTTGCATTTATGCTTGAATTGAATGTCTTCTGAAGTTGTGATAAAGGAAACAGTGGAGCTGTATATCACGAGTTGGCAGAAGTTAAAATTCGTGAACCATTGGATCCCATGTCAGTAAATAAACGGTCAACGGGCTCGCCTCGTAACCTGAAGGTGCTTGGTTTTATCCTTGATGAGGTCATGAGTGTGTGTGTGTGTGTGTGCGGAAGGGTCTCAAACTAAGACGAAACAACTGTTCGGTACTTCCTGGTATTCAGTGGTTCTTTAACTGGTATAAATCCGTGATCTAATTTTAAATTCTTTTAAATAATACTACTTAGTGTATATTTTTAAGTAGTAAATCACTGCTCGAAATCTACTGACGTCTACGTAAATCAAAATGTTTGTTACTTACAGTTCGAATTTCCTGATTACTTTTATGAAATCTAGAAACAGAAAACCATATTCTAACATTTACGACTATACCTACTAGGGCTAATATAGAATTAAAAGAATGGTAGTTTAAGTAAACTTCATTAATAAACTGTATTTTACGGTGGTGCGTACTACTGGCATGCATTTATAAGTAGTGTACAACGTAATTTCTTCTGGAAGAGTCTTAAACAGAAGAACGATGGATGTATTTATTGACAAGAGGAATGAAGAAAATTATTTTTAATACAGAAAGCACGAAATGAAGAGAAGTATTAGGCCGAAGATAAAAAGTCAACATGAATCAGAACCCAGATAGTTCAGATAAGCTGAATTTTCTGTGTAAGGTTGTAATATTTTCATGAATATTTTGTGAAATTTACCTATTGAACAGTTATGCACCAGTAATCCCGAGTTATTCATTACAATGTCAAATCATCTTATTCTACACAGTATACTTTTATTTATATATTAGGTGGCAGGCGGTAGGAAGCTGTGCGCCTAGTTTTCGTGTTTATCGGTACTCGTAGACAAGGAATGTCTGCAGCCTACACATTCCCATCAAAAAGACTGATAGAGAATACCATGAAAAAGCATGGTACAAATTAACATCAAGAAGATTTTCATCTAAAATGGATTTTGCTGGCAGTGTCGTGTCCTCTGAACTAGATAGTTTAATTGTGAAACTTCCATTGTTCTTTTAGACACCGTCTTCATGGTTAACTTCAGTGCGGAGAAAGCTTTGAGAATTTTTCATGGATGAAGTATTTATCTTTTCTGGTAACCTTAATGATGATTGGTTTTTCGAGTAGATTTCAGTAAAATGTTACCCAGAAGGATAATGAACCCTTTGCAGTTAAACTATCCAATTTCAGAGAACACACACAACTAAACGAAAAAGGTTGGAATAGTTCATCTAGTTAGTGAATAATAAAAAAGTTATGGACAATTGGCATACCCCTGGATCAGTAGATTGTAATAAACGATTTGCTTTGTTATAAATTTTAAAATAATGCTTACCTTAGATACATGTGTCCTGGAATGAGTTTCATATGGACCTTCAATCTTTTGAAATAACAATGCACCCAATAAGGTTACTAGTGTTAATATAAGTATTAGGCCAGGTAATGACTTCATGAATTGTGCTATAAATAATAATATTATTACAAATTAAACAATTTTAATAGCTATAAAATGCATATTACGCGTAAAAATGGTATACAACCAATAAAAAAAGGAAGGAGAGCCGAATTCTCAACACTAATATCAAGTCAGTGAGTACTTCTCTAAGGTTTTCAGGCATGGTGAGCAACCGTGCAACCGAAAGCATTCCTAACAGCCTACTGTAGACTTTCTTTAACAGATGTCCTTGATGAGCACTGAAGAGCAAGTGGCAAGTCAAAAAGAACCAGCAACAAGGAACTCTGGCAGGTAACGAACTAACCAAGATCCTGTTACCTAACAAATATGTCAAAGGAAAAGAAATGATATACGCTAATAAGACCACTGAATGACATCATGTGCTAGGGCGGCTTTCGAGTGAAACTTAAATGGCAAACGACGTGTGGGGCACGGCTGTGCGGGTGACATAGAAAAAATAGTGCGAGCGAGAAATGAAAGCTTATAGTCAATCATGGGACCAACCGAAATTGATTGCAGAGGACAGAATGGAGTAGCGATGTGCTACCAAAGCCCTGTGCTCCATCCACAACTCAAGGGACGAATAATAATGACAAAATAATAAACAACCGGTTTAAAATATTACTAAAATTACTCACAATCTCAATACAAAACACTATTTTTTTTAAACATTCATATGTATACCACTTTGACTCATGTATAGAATTTATTTCAAGGCTAAATTTTAATCTTGTCTTCAAAAGTCTTGATAGTGAGATTTTCAATCAAGACATTTTTATCATAAAGCTTATGTGTAAGTCATATATTAGTGAAGATTTCAAAATAACTGCTTGCGATCAGCAGGAAGTAATCTCGAATATGGAATTCATTCTTATTGGCAGCGGTCAGAAAGGCGTATATGCAACCTTAGAACAAACTGATATCCCACCCGAGGTTCTATGATCAGTGACATTATCACTGAGCCATTTGGGACACTATTCGGCTTTTCCAACGACCTAACATCGATTTAAGTCACTTAGAGTTATTCAATTATCTGCAATGCTAATCCTAGTTTATTTGAGCCGTCCTGGCAAAATCACTATCGCTCACGCAGCTTCGCAAATAGATCAGTTGTCCAACACATTTAACTGCTTTGCATCTTAACTACTAGGCTAGATGCCGATAAAGACTAGTCCTATGGCAGCACCTGAAACGAGTAAATCGCATAGTGAAATTACGTGAATTTTCGCTTAGGATGCCCAGAAGACTCCTTGTTTTGTCAAAATTTTTACCTAAAAAGAACATATCATTTCCATACTCCAAATCAAGAAGGCTAATTTCCTGGACACTGACATCAACTAGAGTCAGATCCTTTAATACTTCTACTATACTATAAATTACAATTGATAACATTAGGTATCACTCATAAAATGTATCAATTGTAATAAACTCAGGCTATAACTCTTCATAAGCTCTTATACAGTCACGTGAGTTCAAGTTGAATACCTTGATCAGCCCAATATAACTGGAGCATTCCTTTCATAGCTAAATAGTTTTTGGACGACAGAGTCAAATACCTCCCTCAGATCAACGGGTATACAAAGAGTGGTATGTCGGTAGGTCTGTCTGCGTCCCAGAGCCTATCGTAGGGTAAAGACTTTATCAATGCGTCATGGTGTAGACTCACAAACTCCTGTTTCTCATTTTGTCTTCGTTTAACTGAAGACTCGAGGATTTTAGTTACTGTCCTAGTCAGGCAGATCTCCCTGACGTTTGATTTAGATGGCTCTGTTATTATCATTGGTTGATATGCTTACTTTTTTGTAACCTGCACCAGTATAACTGAATTGTTTTGAACTCACATAAACTAGATGATATCTCAGTCAGTCTAACCAATAATTCATTACCACCACCCTTAAGTATCTAACCTTTGGCTGCAAATTATTAGCTGTATTCACTACTACTTTTTCTGCAGACTGATTATAGTACCAGGCTTCTCCAGAATGAATATTTCTGACATAAGGGAACAAATATTCACGTATTTCCTCCCAAGTATACACCTCATGTTCTCATAAAACAGTGAACAGTTAATGACTTCATAGATGCTTGGTGAGTGCTTCCATTCGACTGCGTACATATATAATTAAATTCCATGTAGATATTTCAGATAGAATGACAATCCTTCATCGATACTCTTCATTGATAACTTATAGCAGAATGGTTGATCGATGCCTAACTTTGGATTTATGTTGGCAGTCAGAAGTCAGGAAATGCCTCTATATATATTTGAAATTAGCGCTGACTAGGAACACATTTTTATCGGAACAAAATGGTAAGATATTATCACAACTGTTCATTTGTCGGCTTGGGACAGGAAAGATACCTCCAATGTTCTTTTCTGCCGGTTCAGTTTCCCTACTTAAACATTTAAATCATCTGCTTAGGTGAGTGTATGAGGAATTTAATTTTAAAAGCAAACTTGATTGCTTTTGATAAAACTTATCTTTCCCATTCCCCGAACTGTGGCCAGTTGGTGCATAGAGGAGATCACGAAACATACCTACGAGTATCAGAATCTTTCCTTATTTTTACGGATCTATTAAACCGAATAACTATCCATTTTATGAGCTATTTCTACCACCAGATACCTACACACTAGAGGTTGTTTTCCTCTTCGGGTATTTAAAAGAGGAAGACTTTTTCCGAAACCCCAGAACTCAAGGGATAAATGCTTGAAGCCCATCAGACATGGTCTCTTTGGAAGGGAAGTTTGAGTGATTTCATTCGTACATTTGATTTTGGTACTAAATACAATCCACCATATGGCGTGTCGAGATATAAACTTCTTGGGGAGGACTTTTTTTAACCTCTCCACATAACGAGAAGACAACATAGCTAGCTCACTGGTTGCCTAGCGATGTGCCCTACTATCATAGTGTGCACGTTTCTGTCAGCAGGCTTTCACTATAGAATGAGCAACTTTTCCGATGTTGGTAACTGTTTTTGATCTAACCTTTATCTGACAAACCATTCTGAGATACTAGGAGATTCAGGAGTATTCATTCCAGTTAGCATGGCTAGATACGTTATTGTGATGAGAATCCCTGAGGATCACGTCATGGTAGCAGCTATCAGTCGAGGCACCGACAAAGAATTTTTAACCATGACTAGAAAATAGCTTGACAACTCTATTCAAAATCATATGACTAAGCCGTTCTATCTTACATCTTTGAGCAAATGTGAAATTCTCAAAGGTAATTAGTAATAGTGAATACATAGTGGCAACACAACTGGAACTCTTCTATGTTTTTTCAACCGTATCATAAAAATACGATAATCTAAGGTGTTATTATAATTATTATTACAGTAAAAGTTAAACGAATGTTTGAAATTCATTCACTGAGTAGATATAAACGTCACACTTCTGATTTGTACACATTAGAGCAATAATGAGAATTACACCTTCTGTGTATTAATTAACCTTTCAGTGTAGTGTTAAATAACAATATTTTCTCCAGAATCCCACAAACTTGTAAATTTACTTCAACAGGCCACAGTATTTCATACTGAAATCGTTTTTGAAAGCATACTGCGTCGTAATTGTAACTCTTCTATTCTTCTTCTAGCCGTCTCAGGGGAATCTTTAAGTGGCAACATGATGCATTTATTGCAAACTTCTTCTCGACATCAGTCCCTCAAAGTTCCAATGTCCATGTCGGGTCGAAGAAATTGGATATGTAGAGAGCTACTAATCCATAACCCTGGATGATGGTAACGTTGTATTACAGATTAACAATGGCTGTAAAGTATATGCTACAGGATTCCGCTCCAGTACGTGAATGGTAGTATCGTCTTTGGGAAACATGATGTTCTATAAGATCATAGGTTGTACACTGTTGACCAGTGAGATATCATTTACTTTCATAATATTAATTTGTGAAATACGCACAGAGAAATGTCGACTCCGCAAGCATTTTAAACAGCTTAAGGTTACCAATGTGATGTCTTCCAGCCTCTGATACACCTACTTTATCAACAAAGTAGTAATGAAGTTATCTGGCCTAGAGATGAATCTTTTTTAATTAAAAGTACTAATTAATGTTCATTCTCACACTGAGACACAATTCTTCTTCCCTAACGAGAACGACACAATATTCAGCATTTATTTATTTAACAAGACTTTAGATCCCAATGTGAAGTTACAGCCAGAGATAGCCAGTAACTAAATTCATTCTATACTCAAATCATAAATTAATCCCTATTATCCAGGATACTTATTCTGATGATATAATCAATAAGTAAGCGTTGATCATAAGATTTTCTGTCTGATTAAACAAATCCCTCTTATTGTCACTTTGCAAAAACAAGAAGAATCACTGAAGTGGTATTCTTATAATAACAAACAGGGTCTCCAGTTCGAATCTTACTACTTACTACTCAAATTCACTCATTAACTTATCAAATTAAGCCTACCTAATATCATTTAACCAATGAGATCGGATTAATTTATGTAATAACAACTTTTAAAGTGGTATTTACTAAAAGAATGAAATACCTGAACTGTATCAGCCATAATGAATGGAATACTGAAAGGTATCAGCTGAGACTTAACTTCTTCGTATAAATTAAGATTGACTGGTGGGTTGATTGACTGACAAGTACATTTCGTAAGTACTTTTACTATAGCTACTTTCTTACATTTTATACAAGTTTTTGTTAAGATTCATTATACTTAATATAAAAATATGGTTATTAATATATGACAGTTTCATAATTATGTTTAAGAATATACTTTATCAACAACAAAATTTATAATTATTAATAAATTTCTTTACAGCTTACCTACTTTATTCATTCTTAATCACAGATGTCGCTTCCTTCTCGAAAGATTTAAAAACGAAGGTGTTATTGATATGATATGTACACACACACGCGACCACGAAATACACAGATGTTTCTGTTTACGAAGATTTGAAATGTGCCAATATTCATTAACTAACTTAATATTAACTATTTTTCGTATGACACAAATTATAAACCAATCAGAGTGAAGAAAGATGACCTTACAGGTAAAAATCAACCTATCATACTTCAGATAACTATTACTGATACTTCAATAGGAGTGATAAGGCATCATTTTCTCTAAGTAGGATATTTAAAAAAATCGTTTATTCTTCATGTGCACACGAAATAATATGTAAGAAGTATTGAACAGTATTTGTAAACATCTATAGAACTGCTTTCATTTTGGTTACTTGTTAAACCAATAGGAAATATGAATTCAAGCATCGATTGTGCATAGATATAACACTATATAAATGAAACTAGTTCACACTTGATGCATACTAATAAAAGGGAATAGTGCACGTTAGCAGTTTCATCCTAGTTCGGACTAATTAACTACATCTTCACTATCCATCCATGTTTTGGTGCACCTCCAGGAATCCAACTGGAAATCTATTGAATCGAATGTAATGGTAGATTCTTCGTAACCAACCTATTGAGTTAGTTATGACACTTACTTCATATGAATTTCTACCTATTAGGAGGAACATTTTAAATTCAAGAAGCAGCGCCCAAATATTTTGGCCGATTTTTAAAAAATCTAAGTGTTGGTTTGTAGGGATTTGGTTGGTTACAGGATTTCATCATGAGCTGACATTGGTCAGAGAACCATCGGAAAGCCTGGAATTACTGGACAGCTGTTTCGTCCTAGTTTGGGACTCTTCATCAGCACTCACCCACCGGAGTTCGAACCCAGGAATTTCTGGTTACAAGGCGAGCTCGTAGATCACTAGGACCCGATCCAATGGCCCATGAATTCTAACTTCTGTCAATTCATGACATAGCGTGACCACTAGCCAATGTCTTTGGTCAGTATTTGTCCTCACACCCGACCTGCTGCACCCTAATGGTCATGACTTCTCACTAGAATCCCAGGTAACTACCTACCTGAATAGGGCAAGTCGCTGGTGAGCATCTCATCGATATTTAAGTGTTGGTTTGTAGGGATTTAATTGGTCACAGGATTTCATCATTATATGTGCATATCTCTGAATTATCATTAAAAGACTAGCGTAAATAATCCCAGAGTGTTTAGAAAATTAAAACAGGATTTTTCTGAACTTTTCGCTCTGTAAGCCACAGTTTGTTTTGACAGAATTACTCCAACGAAATCCGACTAATATCCTGGGATGTTTCTAAAGTTATATTACATAAATATTCAAAGTCGTGATATTAATGTTATGGTTGAGTTTCTGAAACAGGGAAAGCAATTTTAATTGGTCAGTTTAATGTGATTCATGGTAGCGCTGGACTTTCTTTCTTCATATACTCCTTGTTACATCATTCAATGTCATTTTTTAAAATTTAACAACATTAGAATCCATATATCTTAATTCTACTAGTGAAAAGACGCAGCTTCAGCTGACAAAATATTGAAGAAAATGAAAGGTGAATCCATCATTAGTACGGAACTACACAAACAACCTCGCACACCTGGTTCTACTACGCCACGCATGTATGGCTTATCTAAAGTAATGTTCCAGATAGAACTTATTATTACCTTGCTAGATTTTTATGTACTCCATCTATTACTGCGCCATATGCTATTGATAAGATTTATCCGTAGTATATAAAGAGACGTTCACTGACGCAAAAATGTCAGATAGCGGAGAGATAGATTCGACTTCAAAGAGAACAAATGATTCAGAGTTGCAGCAGAACATGTGAAACACGAAAAGAAGACAAAGAAACACAATACGAAAGACATAAGTAGCACGACATGTGAGATCTCTGCAAATGACGATTTGCAGATATGGTGTACATAATTTCGCTATATAGAGTTACCGAATTCCAAATAAGCATTCCTTTACCAGGTCTCTTGTCTTCCAACGTTACATTACTACTATTATTGACATTATTACATCACCCGAATAAATATGTGGAAAACTTTAATTTACAACAAAACAAGTCATGATTATCGGGTGACACTCTCCTTAACCAGTGTATTTCCTTTCTTTTAATCCTTGATATTTATCAAGCAGGAATAGAAATATTCTTTTGTAAAACATCAAAATAATAAGAATTTCGTAAGCTAAGAGGATATTAGTAGTAGTACTCGTTATTACTGTTACGTCAGTGATGATGCAATAATTATGCTGATTCGTAGGTTTGATACTGAAAAGCAATAGGCAACTTGATTACTAATCATTTCACTCTCTGTACTTAGCCAACGAAAATAAGACCAGAAGATAGATTGGTCAGTACTGATAAGAACAATGGGATTCTATTATACAAAAGTTCATTACTGATAAATATTATTTACCTCCGAAAGTTAAGCTAACAAACAACCAATTATATTGGTTGAATAATTTCGGGTTTCTAAACTGTCCAATCGTATTGCAATGAATATCCTACTTCTACCTAATGCTATCTAATTATATTTTAGCTGTTATATTCTTGTTTGAGCTGGTTTTAGCTGCTCACTGTCAACTATTTTATCGTAAATACAGTAAGGCAGTTAAACTAATCAACAATAACACAATTTTATACGTATTCATAACCTTGCTGGTTCTCGAAACTGTCCCAACCCCGGGTAGAGGGGGAGGGTTGGGCGTGGGGCTAGCGACCTTACACAACAAAAGCCATCAAACTGCTAGAGAAACTTCAATGCACAAAAAATATATTAAAAATACAAAAACTTCAAATAGCACTCTTATTCTTCTCTCGAATTAGGGAGGCGAAATGACACAGTCAGTCAGCTGATGGGTCTTCTTTCTTTCAATGAAAGCAAGAATAACAATAGGAACGTGGAATGTCCGTACAATGTACGAGACTGGCTGGGAAGGCTGCCCAGGTAGCCGACGAAATGCGAAGATGTCGCCTAGAAGTGCTGAGTATCTGCGAGAGCAGATGTAATGGATATGGATTATCGAAATTGACAACTGCAGAGTCAGTAATCTACTCCGGTATGGTCAACCAGACGATAACCGTGAAAACACTGAGGTAGTGAGTGGCTATCATGATGTCACCAGTGACAGCCAGAACCCTAAAGCAGTGGGATCCAATCTCTTCACCCAGGATTATGACAATAACATCCAACTCAAAAGGAAGGAAAGAAGGTTAAAATTGTCCTGCAGTGTTACGCACAGTGCTACAAACAACGCGGAACAAGAGAAGAAGGAAGATTTTTACAGACAACAAACATTAATGGATAACATCCCGAAAGGTAACATCAAAATCCTCATAGGTGATGTGAATGCCAGCCGAACTGGGAGCAGATAATACAGGAAGAGAACTCATCATGGGTCGAGAGACTCTCGTTCAACGAAATGAATGAGAACGGAGAACTATTCGCAGACTTCTGCGTTTTCATTGATTTGGTGATGCGAGGCAGCTTGTACAAGCACAAGGATATACACAAAACAACATGGATTTCACCTGAATAACACAACACAAACCAGATAGACTTCATCTCAACAATGCTCAAGGAAGTATAGACGTAGCCAGTCTGCTGGACACGAAATCGAGAAGGGATGCAGATATGGGGCTCAGACCATCGTCTAGTTCAAGGAATCTTCAAGGTGGAGTTGAAATCCCTGAAAACAAATGGAGAAAGGCCACTGTAATTCAGGTTCAACATTCAGAAACTGAAGGGCAAAACTACAAGGCATACCTTCACTACAGATCAGATCAGATCAAAGCAAAGTTGGAGACACTACGTGGTATCAGTGGGGAAACCTGCTTGTAAGAACATTGGAACTAACTCTCTAAATGTGATGTTCAAGGAAACGTGTGCAGCTGTAATAGGAAGAAGGAAGAGACACGACAACGAATGGCTGTCAACGGACACCTACCTAGAAGCTAACAGAAGAGGGGAGAGGAGGATGGTGAAAGAGAAGATGACTGTTCAATACAAACATGGTCAACAGAAGGAGAAGCTAAGTTCATTGTACGTCTCACTGAATAAAGCAGTAAAGAAGAGTGCTAGGAAAGACAAAAGATAATTCCACGACACACTGGCTGGCAACTAAAGCAGAACAGACAGAAAGCAGCATGCGAAAGACACCTCAGGACATTATACCAGATAACCAGTTTGCTCGATATACGGGAAGGCACCAACACGGATGATGAAACCAATAGAAGATGTTCAAGGCTACCTAATTCCCTAGGAGGACAAACAAATAGAACAATGGATGGGCTGATCACTTCAAAGGACTCTTAAATCGACCATCACCTACAACTCGTCCAGAAATAACACCATCACTACCACCAGTATGCACAGAACTGCCTGGCAGTTGACACCAATCCTTTAACAAAAGCAGAAATTTTGAATGCAATCAAACTACTGAAGTGCGGTCGGGAAGTCAGAAGGACCAGACGGAATTCCCCCTCCTCGAATACTGAAAACGGACCAAGAGACTGCAACAGATATGCTGACGCTATTAATGCAAAAGGTTTGTAGTGAAGGAAGGAGAGGTGCCTACTGACTCACTGGAAGAAAGGCTGACTACCTTGTCAAACTATCAAGGAAGGGCGACTTACGCCTCACTCTACAAGAACTGACTGGTGTGGAATCATACTCTTGTCCACGCCAAGTAAACAAATAAGTCACATCATCCTGAGGCGAATGAAGGATGCACTGATGGATCCAGAACTCCGCCAGCCCCACCGGCTAGAACAAGCTGGATTCACGAAAGGCGAATCATGTGCTGATCACATTGCAACTCTACGCATCATCATCACAGAACAAAGCATATAATGACGGCAGTCAAACCTCCCTCTACCTCAACTTCATTCATCGACGTCGAAAGGGCCTTCGACAGACAGCGTTGACCGAGAAGTAATTTGGAG